TTCCTCCAATCCTGCCACCCCTTATGTCCTTCCCTTCACTATTGCAAAAAAGCAAACCTTTATAAATCGGGGGAGAGAGATCTACGGTTAGGATCGGCTTTCGCCCACAAAAAAAAGGGCCTGGATTTTTTTTAGTTATTATACTAGTTCACAAAAAAATTCCACCTGAATTTGAAAAGACCCAATAACATTTAGTGAAAATTCAAAACTAATAGTTGGTTGTTGTGGTGAATTATTTAGGTCAAATGGATGATTGTTTTTTTTTGTTTTTTTGACAAAATCTAAAAAGTTGATTAATATGGTGAAGTGTTTTAAATTTATGAATGGCCGTTTTTCAAATGCATGAATTGCTTATAAAATATGATTAATTATACCAGTTATAATTGTTTATGGGGAAATAAACTTTTTAAATTTAAGATTGATTAAATTTTTACCTCGATCAATTATGTCAAAATAAAAAAAATAAATTTTAACAATTTAATCAATTAAAAATAATTAGTTAATAAGTTGAATTATGCAAGTTTGGTTAACAAATTTGTAGTTAAAAATACTAGAAGGGTAATGTCTAAGTATACAATTTGTTCACTTTTTATTTAGTATTTCAGTTGGAATTATTTTAGTTTTTTTTTTATATATTGAAATAAATTTTAATAAATATATATGATCAAAATTTAAATATGTTTTAGTTTTTTTTTTATATATTGAAATAAATTTTAATAAATATATATGATCAAAATTTAAATATGTTATCTTTTTTATCACAAATTTTTTTAATGTATGAGAGGCCCATGTCAAGAGTTCCCTTTGAGCTTTCAAAATATCAGAGCTGGCACTGTCTAGGGTTTCAATGAGGTGAGGCTAGAGTTTTTAGGCCCCGTTTGTTTGAAGAGTTAGAAGGGAGATTGGGATTGGTAGTGAGGTGAGACTCACAAATATTGTGTTTGTTTTGAGAGATGGGGAGGGGATTGATAGTGAGCTCCGGATTAGGATGGGTCTTCTCAAGGGGATTCGGATGGGCCTCCCCAAGACTTGGTATTAGAAAAATAGTCCGGCGAACTAAAAAAAAAATTATTTTATTTTTTACATGTCGGGCATTTTTTTTTGAACATTAATGTTTAATTTTTTTGTATTTTTTTATTTGTTTTATTATTTTATATTTATTTTATACAAAAATAATTTAACAATCCCTACACTAATAATTATCATCAAAACATACACAATTTTACTTAATTTCTTCGCTAACAATCCCTTCCATTCTACCTCTGAAAACAAACGAGGCCTTATGCTGTGTTTGGTTGAGGGAGTTTGAGAGAGATTTGGAAAAGAGAAATGGAAAAGGTAGGTGAAATGTGAATAAAACATGTCTATATTTCACTTAGTTTCATACACCTTTTCCCTTTTTCTTTCTAAATCCCTCAAATTTCTCAACCAAACACAGTATTAAGGTTTCCATTGAGAGGTGGGGTGGCAAAGTGGGGAAGGAAGGAAGGGTGGTGGGGATGGAGTGGGGTAGAGAAACAGTGGCTAGCATAGGAAGGTGAGAACTAGCAAGGTAGGGTGGCTGAGAAGGAAGGCTCGGGGAAGTGGGGTGTAGAAGGGTGCGCTGAGTAGTAAATGAGGGCATGAGCGACAATGATTGGTGAAGAGAGAAGAGATGGTGGTGGTGGTAGACCACTGTGGCAATGTCTGGTGGTCGAGGAAAGGAGTGGTTGTGGAGAGAAGTTTCGATAATGATGGGGTTAATGAGATAAATGTAAGGTGTAAATAGAAACACCCGATCCAATCAACTGTTCTTTTATTTTAAATTAAAACACTTATCAAAAGGTTTAAAATTTAAAAAAAAGTCATTCCTTATTATTTTCTCTTTAAAATGGATCATTTTTCAAAATGGTTTGTTATTGTTTTATTTTGTATATTGTCCGTGCACTAAAAAAATGCATAAACAAATTCATTTTTATAAAGTTGGTGGTTAAGTCTTAAATTTTGTGGAATATTTTTTTTTTTTTACAATAAGATTTTTCATAAATTTTAAATTGAAACAGCCTAAATCTGCATGTGACAAACAAGATAGTAGATACCTTAACATAATTGCCCAACTAATTTTAGAGGCCATTTAATGATTGAAATTTTTATTTTATTTTCCATGAAGAAAGAGAGAAAATTACACTTGCAACTATAAGAAGTCAAACCCATTTTAAATCAAAGAGGAAGTGTAAAAGGACTCTCGCATAATAAGTTGCATATGTCAAAGGGGTGAGGTCCATATGTAAATTTCACCATTTGTCAGACATTTGTACGATATTTGGTGAAAATTTTCTGTCCTCTTAACACAGTAGTAAACCAAAACATCCAATATTAATGGCTTAAGCTTTAAGTAACTACACTGAGGGTTTCGTTTGGAAATTGAGTTAACTTTTTTATTTTTTGAATTATTTTAGTTTGGGGTTAAAAAGTCTCAGTTGGAAAGGATTTTTAGCTATTTTGGATTTTTAAATTTTTTTATGAGAGAAAGAACGTAACGATTATGGATTGAATGTAATATTTTATCTTACTTAACTAAAAAAATTATTTTATTTTTTGTGACTAAAATATCAACAAAAGTTCCAAACTTGACTTTCCAAACGAAGCCTGAGGTTGATTGATCTAACAAGGCACAAAAAGATTGTTAGACATTGATTGATAAGGAATTCCTTTCCCAAGAATCAGAAAAAAAAAAAAAAAAATTAATTGATAAGGAATGGTTTTCTCAATTTAATTAATGTCAAAAATGACACAAATTTAGCTAAATTAAATAAATTCATAACCTTAAAAGGATGCCACTTTCATCAGCGCTGTCTGCACATCTCATGTTGATAATGAAATGACAAAACAGCAAGAACCGTTTTTTTGATGCTTTTAAGGCTCAATTAAATGTTATGTGACCAAAGCATGTTTGAAGTAGTTGGAAAATTTAAATGCCATTAATTAAATCTTGGCTTCCAAGGCACATTTTAGTGTATAATGGACAGCCAATGTTACAATTGATAATTTAATTTTTTTTCATCTTGTTTTTTTTATGTTCTAGTCTAATTGTCAACATTTCACTAGAGATGAAAAATAACCGCGGGATAACATCAAATTGAAACCCAATCACCAGCAAATTATAAACATCAATTAAGCTCGGAAGGTACTAGCAAGAAACAAACCAAAGATGCCTAGATTTACAATTCATCCCAATGTCCAACTCCTTTGCCTCATGTAGGTTTGCTTAACATTTTATTTGTCAATTTAATATTGACATAATAAATCTCACTACTAATGTTATATCTCTAATACTAACGACTAAACTAATAATAACTCAGATGGTAAGATAAGATAGTAAAAATAGATAGTCATTGTAACGTTTTTCACATAATTTTTATAGAGAAAATTCATCTAGAATGAATTAACAACAGTCTTCTAAAAATATGGCTAACTATCATCGTTACAAACCTACAATTTTTAATCTTGTATGTACTTTCTTAAAAATCATTATGATATAATAAGTGCACAGCAGGCAATTACTACCCAGCTATCAACTCATAATGAAGGCCGAGATCAACTTCTCTATAGAGCTGTGAAATGAATCAAACAACTCATACTTGATAAAAAATTCATATATGAATCAAACAACACATATTTGTTAAAAATTCATTTAAAATCAATGTTTTAAATTTATTATGTGGAGAAGTCAAATTTAAATAAATTTTAAATTTTATTATTTTTTTCAAAGAGTTATAATAGGAATTCCAAATAAATTACTAAATTTTATACCAAACCTCTGACGTGAGTATAAGATCCACACAATTCACATGTGTGTGGATCCCACACTCATGTGATATGTTTGTTTGGTAAAAAATTTAATAATTTATTTGAGATCCATAACATTTTCCTTTTTTAAATCAAAACTTGAACAATCTACCTCAACTTCACTTGATCATATACACCATAAAAAAAATAAAAAAATTACTTGAACTTAACTCGAACATGAACGAGAACTTCTCTCTGCACTTTTCTCTCCTTAGGGTTTAGGCATGAGCGGCGATTGGGGTAGGAGAGGGGATTTTTTGACGGCCTCCAACCTTCTCTCCCCTCCTCCTACCCCTCTCTCTTTCTTTTCCATGCTTTCTACACAATAACTTAAAAGCTTTGGGCTTTCCACCCTCTCCCTCTTTTGTGAGATGTTTATCTCCCTTTGCTTCAACTCTGATCATGGCCTTCATGGATCCGCCACCTCTCCTCTCCTCCGATCCACTTCGGTGTCGCCTCTATATTCTGCACCTCCTGTTTCAGCCACCATCACCACCTGTTTGCTTCTTCTTTCGGCCGGATTTACTAATCCTCCATTAGATCTACCGCCATCATTCTGCTCCACCACCTTCCACCAACGAATCCATCGCTGCCACTGCCTGGAGTTATGGGTTTTTATGGTTTGTGTTTTTTTTTTCTTTTCTTTTTTTATTTTGGTGTGTTTTTAACTTACCCATACAATTTAGATATAGTTTATATATTTATCTTAAACTTATTCAAGTGTCAAGCTTTTATGATCGACCGCTACTTTGTAGTATGAATGCTATATCTAGATTTATCCATAGCTTATCTTTGGTGCTTTATCTATGAATTTTCCTTTGTTTTACACAAGGTTTTTCCTTAGTTTGGTATAAGCGTATTGATAAATTCATTGTAAGTGCCATTCGACAATCTTCACTTTAATAGAAATTTCTATTGATCCAAAAAAAATAAAAATAAAAACTTAAACTCGTGATCAACTCAATTAAAACTTTCTTAAGATTGACTAGAAAACGTAATAAGCTAAGTTTAAATACATTTTAAAATTCTATTAAGTTTTTAAACTAAATTTAAACAACCTACTATTTTTTTCTTCCATTATTCCCCCCCCTCCCGCCCCCCCACATTTTTCTAGAACTATTCCACAATGAGCAAGCTACATTACTACTCAACCCCGCCTCCACAAAAGTGCATTAAACTGGCGAAGTAGAGAATAATACTGCGAGAAAATTAACAAAAACAAAAACATCATATCTAAGCTCTCGTTCATAATAAATTCGGCCAAACAGGAAACAAAAATAATTAAATAGGAGAAAGATTTAAATATCCTCAGCGTATAATGTAGAAAGACAAAAGTTGCATTCAAAGGCAAATTAAAAACCTAAACCTTGATGGCATACTTCCTCATTGGAAAGTACATCTCCTTCTTTTTCTCCCTTTCTGTCTTCAATGATGCCTGCATGAAACATCGGAAGAAAATGGGACAGCCATTCAACATCAGTCTGTTGAGAATTAAGAAAGGGTGGGCATTTGCACAACATTTACACTAAACCAGAAATATTTTTGCAAACCATTTCCATATTTGATCATGATAACTTGTGCTCCAGAGGAAAAAAAAATCATATAAATTAAGCCACATTGAACATTATGGTAATCAAAGTATAAATTAAGCCACATTGAACATTATGGTAATCAAAGTGCACCAATGGAACATAAATTGAGGCCATATAGCAGTTTGAAGCAAGCATCAATTAAGAAAATATAGCATGGAGAACTCGTAATAGTTCAAGGTCATGACATAGTAGTCTTAGGTCTCAACAGGACCATATGCTGGGATGAAAGCAGTCTGGTAACCACCAAACCATAAACTACATATTGAAACGACTTCTGGTTTCATTTACCTTACCGGGGGAACATGTCAGTTAAAGTTTATACTAAAGGATATATCAAGACAACAAGATAATAACCATATCATTCTTAGTAAAAGCAAACCTCAACTTCTGGTTTCATTTACCTTACCAAACCACACAAAATAAAATTAAGCCCTGTGTGCCCTAATCAAGTAGAATTGGCTACATGAATTCTTTTTCACTACTCCACTCTATCAAGGTTAAATACTCAATTAAATAAAATAAATTCATATCTTTTTTTTACTACTACGTCCCATGTCAATTTAAGTTTTCCCCTCTCCCAACATTTTCATTTATGATAATCATATCACTCTACCTGACCACTAATCTACTGGTCTTTGTTATACATAACCAAAATTATCTCGTAACTTATCTTAAACTGTTGCTACTCCTATCATTTCAAGAATATATTCATTTCTAATTATGTCTTTCCTAGTCTTACCATACATCCATCTAAGCATCCTCCTCTTAGCTATGCTTGTTTATGAATGTATTATCCTCCTTGCCTCCAACTCCGTTCGGTCGAGGTCCTCACCACTCGGCTGTGGACCTAACCCTGCCTCAAACAAAGCCAACGGCTGAACGAGCTCGTCCCATCTGGCCCCTTCCTTCTCCCTCCATTCATTTACCCTTTTCACCCACTCTTCTGCTGCTGCTCCCAGCTTTGGCTCCACAGACTTGGTGGGCACTTTCCAAATGGTGCGCACTCCAACCACTCCACTGGCAAACACATAGAACCACCGTGGTCTCCACCCCTTGATCGACGACGGCAGCCCCGCCACCAGCCCTTTCCCTGCTGTAGCCTGCAGAGTGACCCAAGTCTCTTGCTGCCCTGAGGCCTTGTAACATGCAAAGAATTTGTCTACTGTCATGGCCGCCCCTTCATTCGCCTTCGGCCACGCACTTGCACAGGCCAATAAGATCTTCCACACATTGGGCATTAGTTGGCCCGGCGCTACCTCCAAACGATTCAGGACATCTACCACCACTTGCGGCAGGGGCAGTCTCAGTCCTCCCTTCAATTCTTCCTCATAAAGGGCAAACTCCCCTAGCCTGGCATCGGACGGCCTCTCCGTCGACAGCGGCAACAATAACTCTATTTCAGTAGACACCTGGTATTTTTAGCGAATAGCCTCCAAATCCGCTGCAGTCACCGTTGATCTATCTGCCTTTGTTTGCTAGTGATCTGGTTCTGCCTGGCTGATTGGCTTTGGAGCTGCTCTCATGGTGGAACCATGGGATCGTACCACCGACTCCCCCACCCTCTCCATCCTATATTGCTGCGCTAACTCCACTGCATCATCATCACCAAGTGGATCCACCCTGACATTCGCAGCTCCTTCTTAGGCCATTTCTATGGTATGTCTGCGAATCACTTCGGATGCAGGTCCAAGGAAATTGAAAAAGTGTTGCAAAGGTGTATCGTGAGCAACAAAGGAATTCACACTTGGAATATTTTGATTTTTCATAAACAAGTAGGTGAATCGAATAATGCCAAAAGCCCACGGTTTGCCAGTATTCCAAGGATCCCAATTGATTTTCGCCAGTTTGAAAACTTTTCAAATCATCCGCCAAAACTGTCTTTTCAACACCCATAATGACCTATCGTTTCATTTATGATCTAATGCCTAATCTCCCCCCACCCCCCCTCGGGATGTTGCCACGTGTACAACCACGATTCACAGTCTCCTCCCCTTACCCTGTCTTTTCCACTCCAAATCACCACGTGACACGCCGCCTCTCGAGCCCTACGCCCCTCCACCTCACCCTTCGCGGTCGACCCTCCCACTCGGTCACCCTTCGTGGTCGACCCTCCCACTCGGCCAATACCGCGGTCGGCCCTCCCGCTTGGCCCTTCCACTCGGTCGCCCTGCACAGTCGGACCACCTCCCGGTCGGTTCACCCTCTCGGTCACCCCTGCCGGTCAACCTCCATCCTGCCAACCCCTAACACACTCATCTACGTCATTAATATTCCCTTCGTTGGACTAAAGCTGCACTCGAGAATGGGGGACTACTGACGTGTATAAGCCCAT